AGGCTGAGGTGGAAGGATGGCTGGAGCCCAGCAGGTTGAGGCTGCAGTGGCCGGGAGCGGCCATTGCACTCTAGTCTGGTTGACAGAGTGAGACTCCAACTCAAAAATAAAAAAAAAAAAATCTTCAAGTAACTTTGAACTAGTAACATATCTATCCTTTGTTGGTCTAGTTTACTTAAATAGTCAAATACAAATGGGGAAGCATTCTATCAGGGTCTTCCTCCATCTCCTACTATGGCTTTTTCTTCTTGACCCTTGTGTGACAAAACAAAATTTTTATGCCAGATGGTGAGACCTTACATTATTGCTCTGAGCTCAAAATTTTGGTTTGTTTAATCTGAAAACCTTTATAAACATTTATCTAGCTGTTTCCTTTTAGACTATTAATCTTTAACTGTTACCCTAAGCAATTGTCAAGCAAACAACTAAGCAGCCGTTAGTCAAGCAGACCTACATTTACATTGCAAAAGATGTCTAGGTTGTTGGTTGCCATGGAGTGCTTGTAATTTGTAAAGCCATTAATTTAAAAGTCATTTTAAGCTGGAATCACACAGTATGAGTGCATACAAGGCTGGACATGCTTGTGCTTCTGGGTCCTTGCAATGCCAGGTTGAGTGAGGTTCCCTGATGATTCCCTTATCATGCAAATCCTTGGAAAACTGCCCCTTCCCCCAATTGACCTTTGATTTAGGGTTACCTTACATATCGTCATGAAAAAAACTTTATTAACATAGTACTCACTGAATCTAAGGACCCCAAACTTTTAACTGCAGGTGGGTAGTTCATGGAAGCTGTAGCAGAAAATCCTGTGGCTACTTGGGCCCTGAACCTCCAGGTCCCTGTTGGGCACTAGTCTTTAAGGTTGCCCCAAATAGGTGATTCTGGTCTCAAGCGGGAGCGGTTCCACTGCTCCTGGGGGCTCAGAGATACTGCTGCCTGTGGGACAGGAGCCTGAGCCTACTTAATATCTCAAACCTGGGACACTGCGTTCTCAGGGTAGACGAGGCCGTTTGGGGAACCAACCTCCCAGGTTGCTGCTGGCTGTCAAATCGTGTGATACTCCTCCACACTCTCCTCACTTCCACGGTGGTGTTTAACTCTCTGGGCAATGGGGATGCAGACAAGCTTGCCTATGAGCACCTGCCTCCTCCAACCTCATCCCCTACCAACAAGCCAGCCATGGAGTAGCTTATACATTCCAGGTGTGCTCCCCCAAGTTTCTTTCCTGGGCAAACTCCTTTCCATCCTTTGAGAGCCAGTACATTGCCTCTTTATGGTACTGTCCTTAAAGCTCCCTGTCATTTCCGCCCTCAAGTTCTATCCCTGTCATTTGTCTGCCTTGGCCTGGAAGCTCCTTTAGTGTGTGCGTGGGTGAGGAAGGAGGCCTTTGAATCAAGTGTCAAGTTGCCCAAGGTTCAAAGATACAAGGGGATGAATGGGTGGATGGTGCCCTGCCCCCCTGGGACTCAAGTTTTTCAGGTCACAGATCGACCCTTTAGATGGCCCTAGCCTTCTGCCAGTTTGCAACTTCTCTCAAGGATCCCAGGCGCGCTATACCCATTCTTCTCTCCATCGTCATCATCCTAAGGAACAGAAAGTTCTTCCTTACCTCTAAGTCCTCCATGGGGCAACAAGGACCTGAGGGCCACATACAGGACAGTGTTGGCTTGGGCAGAAGCCGTAGGGCAGGCCAGCCATGTGGGTTTGCTGTGAGATCCTGGGGCAGTCACTTCCTTCTCTGGGCTTCTCCACTCCCATAAAGTGTGCGTGGAATCCAACCCTAGTACCACCAACCAGTGTGTACTTCGTAAGGACCCTTTCAGCAAGCCTCACACACACAAGCCTTGCACACCAGTTCTCACCAGTCTCCTCATTCCTAGCGCTTGCAACGTACTTCCTTCCCTCATCTAGCCACGCTGCAGGCTGCCGCCTTTCCAAGTCCACTCACTGCATGGACAGGTTGAACCTTCTTAAGGTTTGTCTCAGTTCCTGGGACAATGCCGCCCCGTCAGTCAGCTTTGGGCCCATCTTCCCAGGAGCAATGTGGTGGTTCATGGACTGGCTATTTCCAGGACCTGCAGTGGCTAGCCAGGGGCAGTGGTGGTGGGAGCTCCTGCCTGCTGGGGCCTTGAAAACTTAGTGACAGGTTGGGCTGCCTAGTGATTCAAGGTGCTATTTGCAGTTGAGGCTCCCAAGAGGGCGTGGCCTGTCAGCAGCCACTGCCTTGGCTTCCTGGGCATCCCTACCGGAATGAGTGTTGCTAGTGGCAACCACCTACAAAGTATTAGGGGTTGCCTAAGCAAGACTACTCCAAAAGTGCTCATGCCAAGAACAAGCAGCTGTCCACTTTTCCTACGATTCTGGATCCAAGTATCTGCAGGTCCCAGCACATGCTCTGCCCTTCTGTCCCCTTCTAGGCACAATTTCCCTTTCTGTTCCAGACAGGCATGACTTCTGACCACAGCAATAGGGCTCCAGCAGGATCCTGTGTTGCACGCAGGGGTTGCCATTCCCACTAGATATGCATAGTCCTCTAGTTTTATAAGGAGGTCCAGGCCAGAACCCAGGTTTAATTCCAAAACCAAGTGAATACTCCCCTTGAAGGTAATAGACTGAGGTCGGGCATAGTGGCTCACACCCATAATCCCAGCACTATGGGAGGCCAAGGTGAGAGGACTGCCTGAGCTCACAGGTTCGAGACCAGGCTGGGCAACTTGGCGAGACCTCTACAATAAATCAGAAAATTAGCCAGACATGGTAGTGTGTGCCTGTAGTTCCAGCCACCTGGAAAGCCGAGGTGGACCAAAAGTTCCAGGCTGTGGTGGCCTTGAGTGTGCCACTGCCCTCCAGCCTGGGCGACAGTGAGACTGTCACAAAAACAAAAAAAGTAATGGACTGAATAACCAAATGGCAGGCAGCAGGACCAACTCAGACCCTACCTGCTCTGAGGTCCTAACACCGCACACCTTTTGGTCTAAATCCTGAGAAAGAACTCTGTAGCACATGACAGTCAAGGAGGGCAGAGACACAAGCATAGCACTGTTTCTGCTGTTCAGACCACTCAAAGTTTCGCAGTGGTCAGAGGCTGAAATCTTAACCACAAAAAGCAATGCCAGCTTTGTTTTGGGTTATTCTCTGGAATACTAGAAGTAAGTAGAGCTACAGCAATGAGAAAACTGGTTGGCTAGACAAGGTCTGAAGATCTGTTAGGGAAACTTAAAGATCTTAACTATGGCTTAGTTACTTCGTTAAAAATAAACTCACCGGGGAAAGCAGGAGTGCACAACATTAACAAGGGTACCTGATCTTAAACTAGGCAAAGTGGGGACCAAAGGGAGGCCCAAACTTTACCTATGCAATGTCAACATATGAGACTGAATTGTACCCCCGCATCTTTAAAATAAAAATTTTTTTAAGTCCCAGAAAAGCAGTAAAAAAAAACCCAAAAAAGTTCACTAAATCAATTTTTTTGCTTCGTTTTTTTTTTTTTTT